GGCGGCGGGGGTCGGTGAGGTGAGGGAGGGGTGGGGATGGGGGTCCCTGAGGGTTCGGCAGAGCCATTTCTGAGGGTCCCTGAGGAGATGGGGGTCCCTGAGGGGATGAGTGCCGTGCTCGGGGGTCCCTGAGGGTACGAGGGAGCCATTTCTCTGGGTCCCTGAGGGGATGAGGATCCCTGAGGGGATGAGTGCCATGCTCGGGGGTCCCTGAGGGTACGAGGGAGCCATTTCTGTGGGTCCCTAAGGGGATGGGGGTCCCTGAGGGGATGAGTGCTGTGCCCAGGGGTCCCTGAGGGCACGGGCGTGCCATTTCTGCAGGTCCCTGAGGGGATGGGGGTCCCTGAGGCGATGAATGCCATGCCTGGGGGTCCCTGAGGGCATGGGGTAGCCATTTCTGCGGGTCCCTGAGGGGATCAGTGCCATGCCTGGGGATCCCTGAAGGCACGGGGAGCCATTTCTGAGGATTCCTGAGGGGATGGGGGAGCCATTTCTGTGGGTCCCTGAGGGGATGGGGGTCCCTGAGGGGATGAGTGCCGTGCCCAGGGGTCCTTGATGCTATGGAGGAACATGTATGGGGGTCCCTGAGGGGAAGGAAGGGCCTGGAGAGGATGGGGGGGGCTGTGCCTGGGGTCCCCAGGAGGGTGCAGGGGGCCCGGGGGGGCTGGAAGGGCCAAGTCTGGGGATCCCTGAGGGATTGGGGGTCCCACTGTAGATCCCTGAGGGGTCGTGCCCAGGGTGCTGAGGAGATAACAGGTCTTGCTACTTCCTAAGTCTTGATTGTTCGTTGTTTTCCAGCATTAAAATCCATTGAAAACCTCTGTTACTCTTGTAATTGCTTCTAAATTTAAAGGGTAATGAAAAAGGGCTCCTCACAGCATGGTTATTCAGTCCCTTGCTTTCTTAGGGACTGGGTTTGCCAGTGAGGCTGGGGAATATCTTGGGTAGTTCCTTTGTCATCCTGATCGAGGGCTTTTTTCCCCATCAGGTATGTGGTGCTGACCACGAAGCATCATGAAGGCTTCACCAACTGGGAGTCGCCCGTGTCCTGGAACTGGAATTCTCTGGATACGGGGCCCCACCGAGATCTTGTAGGAGAGCTGGGAGAGGCCCTCAGGGAGAGGTATGGCACTGCCAAACCCTGCGGTTCCATTCATCTGCGTGCACTGAATTCTCGTGGCTGTTCTTGTCAGAGAGCAGAAAACGAGGAGTTTAATATGAAAAAATTAGTGCTTGCAAAGTCATGAAATCTTCTGTAAAATAATAATGCCAGTAATCTAATCTGCCACTGGTTCTTAATCCCTGCTGCCAGCCTAACTCTTTCCTCTGTGTTTTCTGTCCTTCAGCCACATACGCTATGGACTGTATCACTCTCTGTTAGAGTGGTTTAATCCGCTCTATCTAGCTGACAAACAAAGTGGCTTCCAGACCCAGAACTTCGTTTTAAAGAAGACCATGCCAGAACTTTATGATCTTGTCCTAAAGTAAGAGCTGCAACCAGTTAGGAATCAAGAGCATTTCCTGGTTTCAGTGCTATAGAGAAAGATGCAAAGTGGACGCAGAGAAGAGAGGTGACAAATGTTCATTTTTGCCAAGGCAAATCTGTTACTTATCAGTAATGATTTGCAGTAATTAGAAAAGGGGTTCACATTTGCCCTGTGGACAGCCTAACTTGTGGAATAAGGTAGAGATGCATTTTTCTTGCAGAGCGCCTTTGAAGGTGGAGCAAGCTGTTTAGTATGTAGGTAGAGTAGAAGAGCAGTTTCACTGTGAATTTACATCCTTGCCTTGCTCCCCCTTGTTGATAAAAGTACGAGGCTTGGACACATGTTGCTCAGAATTGCCGTTGTCCCAGGTCAAGAATGTGCCTCATAATTGCCTTTGAGATGCAGTCTTCTCTTTTTTTGAAGAATTGCATCCTCTCTTGAGCTGTGATCAACACGTCATTCTTTGCGGCTGCAAGAACCTTGCTTAAAGCTTTGTCTGAAGCAGAAACTGATAGCGTAAACCTCCTGGTGATGTCAGGCAATAGGAAGAGGAAGTGAAGCTAGACTCCAGATGCAAGAATCACAGTGCTTCCTTTGGGGTAGGATAGGATAAGCTATTTTGAAATAACGATCATCTTTCTGTTAGATATAAACCAGACTTGATTTGGTCGGATGGAGACTGGGAAGCTCCGGAGTCGTACTGGAATTCTACCTCTTTCCTTGCCTGGCTTTATAACGATAGTCCCGTCAAGGTACCGCTCTCAGCTGTCCCTCAGGGCCTCTAGCATTTTGTGGGTGTGGAAGATTTGGCAGCAGTGAGATGTGAATGTGATCAAATCAGAAACCCGCTTGACAGGTGCCAGATGTGCTTTATGCTCTCACAAAAAATAAGAAGCTCACACTGTGCTGGTATGAGAAGGCTCTGGTGTCCTTCCCAGCACACGTGTGGGAGGATCGGAGGCCAGGAACCTTGTTGCCCCAACTTTTACCTGAGTGAGTAGAGAGAGGTTCTCGCAGAGAGGGCTTCAGCCTTCTCTGGAGGATCCTCTCTCTCTCCGTTGATTACCCAGGGGGGTTTAGGTATTTACCTCCTAAGTTAGATGCCTTTGCTGACTTAGGAGGGATGAATGCAAACTGAAACGTCCAAGACAAAACATTCTCCCTGCTGAGCTTTGTGTCTTCTTTCAGGACACTGTTGTTGTTAATGATCGCTGGTGTAATAACTGCTCTTGCCATCATGGAGGCTACTACAATTGTGCTGACAAATACAAGCCAGGGACCCTGCCAGCTCACAAGTGGGAGATGTGCTCCTCCATTGACAGGCTTTCCTGGGGCTATCGAAGCAACATGCGCATTGCTGAGTTAATGGATGAGGAAAGTATCATTGAGGTAAGAAACTTTGAAATCAAGAGTAACCGGTGTGGGGGAGTTACTGAGAATTAGAGGTTTCCTTCATCCTCCTACTCGCAGAAAGAGCTGTCAGGTGTTTCATACAGCCAGGCTGGAGTTAAAGGAGCAATTGATGAGGACAAAGCCCACATTTCTTTGTTGTCAGAAGTGAAGATAATGCCATTTGTTACCTTGGTTTGTCTGTCTGTCACAGGAGCTAGTGCAGACTGTGAGTTTTGGAGGCAACTACCTTCTGAATGTGGGACCTACGAAAGAAGGGGTGATTGTCCCCATCTTCCAAGAAAGACTTCTGGCCCTTGGGAGGTGGCTGGACATGAATGGGGAGGCAATTTATGAGTCAAAGCCCTGGAGAGTACAGATGGAGAACAGCACAGACACGGTCTGGTAAGGACTCTGTTGCTCAGTACCTCTGTTGCTTTGTTGATCTGGGCTGGGACTTGCAGAGCTGAGGTTTCTTTTGTATTTGTTCTTAAATTTGGTCCACTCTGAAGTGTTGCCATCAGCTGCAGATGGCATTTAGGTAATATCCCACAGTTGGAGTGCTCAGATACAGCCCTATGGTATTATCTAAGGAATATCTTGCTTGAAAGAAGAGAATAAAAATCAGGACTTCATCCATCTTGGTTGATTTGGAAAAAAACAACTCTTCCATTACAAAAATTTCCATGCTGCTGCTGTCAGGACTGTGTGAGTAGTGGTCCTGGCTAGTATAAGTTGCACAAGTGTAGTTCATCTTCACACATAGTGTTTGTAAATGTAGTGATCTTTGCTTTTAAGCTGTTGTATAATGGTACTAATCACTGTCACCCAACTGTTAGATTTGTACTGACAGAAGAGCATAGTGAGTCAGGAGCCAGAAATGCTACAAAACGGAGTTGGCTTTTTTTTCCTCAAGTGGGTTCAGTCTAGAAATGCTAGATTGAGATCAGGATAAGGCAGCATATCCGCTCTGTTGACCACCAGCTAAGGCAAGGACAGATTGGCAAATGACATTTGCTTTTAGGAAGCATGCACGGACTTTGGGTTTCATCAGCCAATGCTGAAATGGTGGGTCCAAAGTGACAAATTTCGGAATGAGGGGAAAGTAGGTGACCCCTGTGCGGTGACAGCAGGTCAGTCGGTGTTGCCGTGCTGTCTGAAAAGGTCAAGCTCTTGTCTGATCCTCTCTCTTATGGGGTTCCTCACCTTGCTGAACTCTTGCTCTCTTAGGTACACTTCTAAGGGGCCAGTTGTCTACGCCATCTTCCTGACCTGGCCTCGGGGCAACGTCTTAGAGCTGTCCTCGCCCGCTCCATCCCCAGCCACACAAGTAAGGAGCTTGGGAAAAAAAAGATAATGCACTCTGAGAGCCCACCTTGGGCACGTGTGGGCTGGGAAGGTCCAGCCTGACTTTGTTTGGAAACTGGGGAGAGTGGGGAAGTTGTCATCCCATACTTCTTGTTCTGGGGTGCTGTGGCCTCCCTCCAGATCCTTGCGGCATCCCAAGTTATTCTCCAGGCTTCGGCTCACCGTTAACACAGAAGGTTGGGTAGGACTTGCCAGGACAGGCTCGCGGTCTGCCGTGGAACAGGCGGAGACGCTTCTCCCCCAGAGTCTTTTGACGCTGTTGGCACAGGGAGGTGAAGCCAGTAAGAAGCCTCACCCATGGAAGGAGTCACTGGTATTGGCATCTCAACTTCCAGTTAGGTGCACTGACCCGCTAGCTGTGAATGCAATTGTTAGTGACGCAAAAGCTAGCGTGCCCTTTGCTCTAAATAAACAGAGGTAAAGCCTGCTCCGTAAAAAAAACCCAAAATCCCCAACAAACTACAGTCAAATGTATGCTCCCAGGATATCCCATACGTTACCTTCTGTGCACTGCGGAGATGTGCAGGGCTGCCCCGAATGCGTGGGCAGTGCTGCACAGAGACGGCAAACGTGCATGGGGTGTGCTGGGGTGTTCCAGTGGAAGGTACCTGTGCGACCTACAACCGGGCGTTCCCCCTGCCCTCCTCTGCAGGTGACGATGTTGGGTTTTGCGGGGACTCTGAAGTGGCAGAAGGCCCCAGGCGAGGGACTGCTTGTGACTTTGCCGTGCCTGCTTCCGTCTCCTCTGCCTCCTCAGTCTGGCTGGGCCCTCAGGCTGGAGGGTGTGAAGTGACTGCTGCGAGGTGGAACCGGCAATCTCCCCCTGCCTTTCTTTCAAATTAAGTCATTTATTGTGGAATAAATTGTTTTTCTCTTACAAGAATCTCTCTTGTAATATCTTCTGCCTGCAAGCGGTCTGTTCATTAGTGGGCCTTGTTTGGCAGCAACGGACTGACCTCTGCTCAGCAGCGCGAGGCTGGGACGTCCTTTGCAGCATTCCGCTGGGGTGTGAGCGCCCGTGAGCCGAACATCCACGCTTGGAGCAAGAAGGTTTCTTGATGTAAAGCTGGGTTTCGCTGCTTCACTGCTGTGATCGCAGGGGATGGCGTTGGATGGGCTCGGAGTTGGTGGGAGACTGAAGAGGGTTGGTGTTAGCTGAGAGGACCCACGCTGGGGTGTGAGGCCAGGCCCCACCCGGGTGTAGAGCGTGAACAGGGGGATGCGTGTCTGCGAGGAGGAGGAGAGGCACGTGCTGGCGGTGAGGGTCTTCGGGCTGCTGGAGCAGCTCGCCGGAGGTGGAGCAGCGGGAGCTGTGTCCACGTCCACCTGCGTGTGGCCCGCGGCGGGGGGGCGCCGGGCAGGAGCAGGCCCTGCCGCTGCCCTGGCTTAATTACACGTCGAAATTAATTTTGATAACCAATGTGATACTCGTACATGTGGAATCCTGAAGGCTTGTGTGTGGTGGGCATCTTCTAGTGAAGACCAACAGCAGTGCCATCGCGGGTTCGTGCGTGTGATGTAGTTGCATGAAAAGAAGTGCTTGATAAGATGTGTTGTATTACTCTGGTATTGGCTGAAGCAATGACGATCATGTACTTTCATCACGAATAAAGATAATGGAAGCTGCTTGTTTGAAGAGTTCTGGAAGAAATCAGCTATAGGGAATCATAATCTAATACAAATCTGTTAACTAACTTCAAATCCATGAACTAACTTCAGTTTATATTGTGGTGGAGACAGCTGCGAGCAGAAGAGTTTTTGTTCTCAGGTGAATTTAACAGAGGAGCCACCAGTCTGAACCGAACCTCTGACTTCTGCTGACCTCTCCTGTGAGGACAGGCTGAGGGAGTTGGGCTTGTCCAGCCTGGAGAAGAGAAGGCTGCGGGGAGACCTGATTGCAGCATTTCAATACTTAAAGGGAGCCGATAGGAAAGACGGGGACAATCTGTTTAGCAGAGACAGCAGTGACAGGACGAGGGGTAATGGTTTTAAACTAAAACAGGGCAGGTTTAGGCTGGATATAAGGAAGAAATTCTTTACAATGAGGGTGGTGAAACACTGGAACGGGTTGCCCAGAGAGGTGGTGGAGGCCCCATGCCTGGAAACATTCCAGACCAGGTTGGACAGGGCTCTGAGCAACCTGATCTAGTTAGCGGTGTCCCTGCTCGCTGCGGGGGGGTTGGACTAGATGACCTCTAGGGGTCCCTTCCGACCCAAAACTTTCTATGATTCTGCTGATTCGGCAAAACAAGGTTTCCTGCGTTAGTGTTGAACTTCCCGAAAGGGGTTGAACAGGACGTACTTAAATGATGAAACACCGGGTGACAGCGCGTGCCTCTGCAGTGCAGACGTTGTTGTGAAGGCCCCACGCCGTTGCTTCAGTCACCGAACGACGCGCTGCGAGCGAAATTTGCCCAAACACCGAGGGTCTGGCGCAAGCGAAGCCCCGGGGGCCGGGACACGTGCCGGGCTGGCATCGCAGGCGCCGTTACTCAACCGACAAAAGAACGATCTGTGCTGACAAACCGCTTCGGAGAACTGACCCTGGCTTCCCAACCCCCCCGCGCTCCGGCGATGACGCCGGTACCGACACATGGGGGTGGGAAAAAAACCCCACACGGGAGGGGACAACGGGGCGACGGCCCCTTCCAACCCCGCCAC